AAAAAGAGAAGAAGAGGAGGAGGAGGAAGAAGCAGGAGGAAGAGGAGGAGGAGAAAAAAGAGAAGAAGAGGAGGAGGAGGAAGGAGGAGGAATAGGAGAAGGAAGAGAAGGAGAAAAAAGAGAAGAGGAGGAGGAGGAGAAAAGAGGAGGAAGAAGAGGAGGAGGAGAAGGAAGAAAAAGGACGAGAAGAAGGAGAAAAAAGAGAAGAGGAGGAGGAGAAGGAAAAAAAAAGAAGAAGAGGAGGAGGAGGAAGAAAAAGGACGAGAAGAAGGAGAAAAAAGAGAAGAGGAGGAGGAGGAGGAAAACAAGCAACCCTGTCCTAGCTTTGGTTCTGCCCCATTGCTTACCGGACAAAGTCTTCAAAGGTTCGGAAGGAAACCATGCCTCCCATGCGCTGGCACGGTGGGGTGAAAGAATTGTCCAGGAGAACGTCGCTCACGCTGGCCACGTGGACCATCCCGTAATGGTTAAGGTTAGACGAGAAGGACATTCTAAACAGCAGGTTCAAATCACAGGACGTATTAGGAGACCAGCCGAAGACAGACAAGGCACAAAAAGAAGGTCAGGAGAAACAAAAGAGCTCACGAAACTGGGTGTGTTGTGGGTGGGTGGGGGGTTTGTCAGTAAAATAAAAGAGAAAACATCACTTGGTTTGGCATGTAGAAATTCAAAGAAAGAAGCACACACACAAAAATTGGGTGGATTTAAGCTTACCCTGATGTTGGCTCTTGTTTTCCCAAGGCCATCTGCATGACTGTTCCAAATTAAATCTGCAGATTGCAGGTTTTGAAGATTTGCTGTTTTGTTGGTTGGGGCCCTGTCCTCATCCCACCCGCTTCCTCAACTCTGAACGAGGCTGAATTTGAAACAAGAGGGGACTAATTGTTCCCACCACTTAGGGAACCGTTAAAAAGGTAAAGGTTCCCTTCGCCCATCCGTGCTAGTCGTTTCCGGCTCTAGGGGGCAGTGTGCTCATCTCCATTACAAAGCTGAAGAACTAGCGCTGTCTGAAGACGTCTCCGTGATCATGTGACCGGCATGACTAACGCCGAAGACGCATGGAAGGCTGTTCCCTTCCCACCAAAGGGGTCCCTATTTTTCTACTTGCATTTTTTTTACATGCTTTCGAACTGCTAGGTTGGCAGAAGCTGGGACAAGTAACGGGAGCTCACTCCATTACGTGGTGCTAGGGATTCAAACTGCCGAACGGCCGACCTTTCTGATCGACAAGCTCAGCGTCTTAGCCACTGAGCTGCACTACAAAACCAAGAGGCCAAAATTAAAATTATAGCCCCACCAGAATTAGAAGACAAATGTGCCTTCAATGCACTAATGTGCTATGCTGCGACCTCCAACATTTTTGGAAGAGTCAGTTGAGGAACTTGGTAACCAGGTTTTAAACAGCTTCAGTGGAACTGAAAGTGAGTGTCAAAAGAGCTTCAGTGGTCACCGTAACACAAAAATAAGCCAAACAGGAGTGAAAAATTTTATCTTATAGTTAAATTTTCCATTTTTTAAAACTAGAAGGATTCCTGTGAACTAGAACAAGGCATTGCTGGTTTGCCACTTAAGATCCTGAGCAAACACCCCAAAAAAGACCAGGAAAAGGTGTCATCAACACAAGGCTCTTGGATGTGTTATTTTGGCCATGCCTACAAGCCGTTGCAATGGCTTGCAAGATGGATAGAGAATTTAAGTCCCTCCCTACAGCTGGTGGTACAAGTGGCTGCGCTGATAGAACAAGGTTGCTTCACAGAGTTTGCCGACCACAACAAACCACAACAACCCTCAACCCTGGGATGAGGGTTGCAGCATCCCAGGGTCATCTGATTCCCATTTGTGACCTTCCCACCTGACAAGTGCAGTCCATGAGGGAAGTCAGATTCGTGATTCATTTAATAACTGCAGTGATAAGTGGAAAAAGTTGTGAAATTGAATGTAGCTCTTTCAACAATCAGCTTGCTTAGCAACTGAAATTCTGGGTAGCAATTGTGCTTGTAAGTTGAGGGCCACCTCTGCTTCATTTAATACTAACCTCCACCTCTGAGTCATATGACCATTGGGTTGAATGAATCCAGCCTACAGTGTGTTGAGCCTGGGTTTGCACATTTTCAGATTATTTTATGGGTTGGCATCAGTGGTGGGATTAATTTTTTTTTTTTACTACCGGTTCTATGGGCGTGGCTTGGTGGGCTTTGCAGGGGAAGGATACTGTAAAATCTCCAGTCAGAGGTGGTATTTGCCGGTTCTCCGAACTACTCAAAATTTCCGCTACTGGTTCTCCAGAACTGATCAGAACCTGCTGAATACCACCTCTGGTTGGCGTGGCATGCGAACCATGAACATTATCAAAAGCCCATGGACATACTGTATGAAGAACTATTCTTTCATAATAAGGAAAAAAAACTCCAATAAAGAGAATGTGTGTGGCTCATGGTAGAAATGCAGAACTCTTGATGGTCTCTGATCTTGGCGACTCAATAGCTTGCAAGCTCCTTGGTGGGAACTTGCAGGCATCTCATTACCCAACTAGATAACATCATCAGGATGAGGGAGTGTGGGGTTTGCTGTCTGTTTTTAATGTTATGCAATAGTTTGCCTTGCCAGTTTTGGTTGGGGTGTAGTTTCCTCTTTGGTGTAGTTTCCACCTCAAGGAGGAAAGCACATCTCCATCAAAACTACCAAGGTAGTAAGATTACTATCAATGAAGCTTCTACCTCTGGTTTTTTTTTCACCTTTTCTTTAAAAATATATGTACAGGTTAAAAACAAAAATTACAGGAATTGAGTTTGGCCAGCTAAACAGTTGAGCAGCCACAATGGAAATTAGGAACTTTAGTGTTGTATGCAAAGACTCATATTATTTTATGGGAAGATCCTTTCAATACTTTGCAAGGCTGTTGTAGGGAAGGTTTGAATATATTATCTATAGCACGGCAGGAGCTTTGCATAGGAGATCCCAACTCTAAAGAAGGAAGAATTTCCTGTTACGGTTGTTACACTGTGGTTTTAATCATGGTTAATATGTTTGCATGGTATTATGAATCTGTAATTTTGTTTCTGGCATTTTTTTAATTGTCGTGATTCAGGAATGTGAGATGGACAGCCATACAAATTGAGTCCTGGATAAAAGAGTCTTTTAGGGTCTCTGTTATAACTTGCATTCTAGGATTTGAAATTTTCACCAAGATTTTCAAACCATGAGCAAATATTTTAGACTACCCAAATTTTGGGATGGGGAGAGTGGCTGTTGCATTTATTTTCCTTTTTTATGTGACGCCTCACATATATTTGTGGCGCTTAAAAATAACTTTCACAATTCTTAATCCCAACTTAACTTCTGTGCATCTCATTCCATATTGAAAGGGTTTCTTAAGGGGGCATGCGTAAGTGCACTATCATGTCTATCGTCCCTCTCACATTTTAGTTTTTTTTTCATTTTGCGTGGTCAAAATTTGTAATTTTTCTTTGACAAATGATTAAAATAAAAATAGCATAGTCTAAAAGGAACCCAGGAAGGCATTCTCTCTCCTGTTCCACTGTTTAAAAAAAACAAAACCCCACATACATTGCAGAACAATTTATATCTTGACTATTCCCAAACTATGTTTTCAACAGTTGGGCTACACATTGCTCTGGGAGACAGAAGCAGATGATAGACAGATATTAGCATTTGCAAATTAAGAACACACATATACACAAACACCCCTATACACAGAGAGCTAAGTTTAGTTTCTGAAGGTTTAGTAAATTTTCTTTGAACAAAGGCCATGGATATACATCAACACAAATACATGACGACATGTTGAAATATGTTTAGAAATCTCTAATAATGGGCACTGTCCACTGTGCCAGCTGGATCCACCTTTATGATGGATATTTCAGTACCCATATATCAGCATCAATGGAATAGGTTCAGAAATGTTCTGAAATACAGGTAGTCCTTGACTTACAACCATTCATTTAGTGGGCATTTGAACTTACAACAGCACTGAAGAAAATGACTTCTGATCGGTTTTCACACTTACAACCACTGCAGCATTCCCAGGGTCATGTGATCAAAGGTCAGATGCTTGGCAACTGGCATGTATTTATGACAGTTTCACTGTCCTGGGGCCATGTGATCACCATTTGCAAACTTCTCAGCCCACTTCCGATGAGCAAAGTCAACAGGGGAATCCAGATTTGCTTAACAACTGCATGTTTCACTTAACAACTGCAGTGACTGGCTTAACATTGTATCAAAAAAGCTCATCAAATGGGGTGCAACTCAGTTAACAACTGCCTTGCTTAGCAACAGAAAATCGTGGTTGTAAGTTGAGGAGCTACCTCTAGGCAATAATCTTATCCAGGTCGTGAATTGGCAAGAGATTGGCATTCAAACAGGTGGGTGAGATGTTATTGTGAGCATCTTTCTGAAAGCCACGTGTTTACGCAACACACCTAACCAGTTCGTAAGAATAGCAATCACACAACCATGCTGAATTCGGTTAGTGTTAAATTAGTTTGGTTGTATACATGTATAGCCCTGTGTGTTCGTTTGGTAGCCATTCTGTCAGGGCAACACAACCTGGGAGTGACTTTTTGGGGCTCCTAAGTATACAAATATTATAAATGGGAGTCTGGTCTGGAATAAAATAGGTTCTTATATCCCAGGGATATTTGGAGAGTTGGTCAAAGGGGCCAAGATGGCGGCCAGTCAAAGCCCCGCCCCTTTTTAACAAGGAGTGCACATTAAAGGAGGTGGGGTTTCAATTGTGCCACAGCAGCCGCCATCTTGATTTTATTTTTTTTTATCATCCACACAGACACTCCTACATAGCATATTTTTTCTTCAAGCAATGGGTCGGATGAACCCATCACTTCTCCAATGGAGAGCAACTTCCTAGTACCGAGGAACAATTGCGAGTTGGCTTTACTGTTGGTCATCATGAAAGGACTCATGAATCAACATCTGGAACCCAACCTTGACTTACGTCTACTCTTCTCATCTCTTTCCTGCAACATGGCCAGCTGAAATGGCTGATTCAATAGTGTAGCATTCCAGATACTGATTGATACCCTGTACCACTTGAGATCATTCTCAACATGTGGTCCACACACCAGCCTCTTGTGATAAATTTGACCTATCACAACATCAGCCTATCTCTTGTTTGTGGCAGGGGTCTCCAAACTTGGCAACTTTAAGACTTGTGTCCCAAAGGTGCTTTTTCAGGAGGCAACTGGACTTTCTTGTTTTACTTTGAAGATGTTTCGCTTCTCATCCAAGAAGCTCCTTCAGCTCTGACTGGATGGTGGAGAATGGAAGGATTTATATTCTGCAGACAGCTGGTCATTTGCATTCACTGAGGCCCCTTGGAGGTTTGTCTCAGGGTCACCGGAGTAGTGCTCATGGTTCCATTTTTTTTAGTCTGCCATTTTTTTTCCTGGAAATCCGTTTACACTCCCACACCATTCGAAGGGTGTTCATCCCAAATTGCATAGCTAAAAAGCTGTAGAGATTCTCAATCATCCAGGTCATGGTTGTCTCAAAGATGCTTTTTCAGGAGGCAACTGGACTCCTAAAAAAGCACCTTTGGGACAACTATGAGCTGGATGACAGAGAATTTGTACAGATTTAAAACTTGTGGACTTCAACTCCACAATGAAGTTGGGGAATTCTGGGAGTTGAAGTCCACAAGTCTTAAAGTTGCCAACTTTGGAGACCCCTGGTCAATGGCAAGGGAATCGTCAGGCACACAGGTGGCTGTGTGCATCCATTTGTGTGAAACTAGAACTTTCCACTGAGTCCTTCAAGAAAATAGTGACATCAATGGAGGTTACAGGATGAGTCCCTCACAAACACAAAGCAGAAGGTTGTGGTTCAAAATACCTCTGCAAAAAAAGCCCCTACTTCTCTACCATGGAGGAAATGATTGAATTCTTTGTTGTGTAGATTAAAAAAAAAATCCCTACCTATAAAAATCTAACATAATGGGTGGTTAAGGGAAAAGAAAAGACTTGTCCAAAGCATGCTAGCTTGTGAAGTGTGGCATATTTCTTTCTGACATGAGAAGAAGTTCTGTCATGTCGGCCTTCTATCTTTTGCCTCAAATGGTGCAGTGATTACTACTTTAAGAGAGAAACAGGCCAGAATATAGAGTGAGCCAATGAGTTTCCACTTATCTCTACCCATCCTCCCCCCCATAGCCCCCCACCTCTCCAATTTGCCTTTAGCCATATTTTGCAAAATTGCATTTAAAGGAAAGAAACAACACGGGGAAAGAAAACAACACAGCAACGTTCTGGAAGACGGCTAAGCAAATACATTCTCTTTTGAGGGAGAAGCTGTACATCTTTCCTGACAAATGACTATATAATAATTATGTTCTCAGCCAACCACTTTCCACCCACCCTCCCTCCCTCCCTGGAAAGCAGTAATGAATTGTTGGCATTAAAAAAAAAAGTTAATTTAAGACAGAGGAAAGTTATCTCCGCCAAGGCATTCAAACTGGAGAGAATGCACCCCTCAGCCAACTGGAGTTACCGGTGGAAGATTTAACAAGCGGGAAAAATCAAAGTACCGCTAGAACCATTGACTGGGCCCGTTCCCCATCCCAAAATCATTTTCATAGGCGATGGTTTAGAACAGGGTTCTTAATTAGAGTCCACAGATCACTTTGATGTCTATAGATAAAAATAATTTAGGAGTCACCTGACCTTGGTTGGGAAAAACATTACAACTTTCTTTTCATTAAATTTAGTTTTTCAGCCAGTGGCTCATGTACGGTAGGCAACTGCATAAGGTACGGCCTTATTTCGTCGCCTCGTCTCCCAAAATGCCCGTTGTCTTTAATACATCTCTCTATTTGAAGTAATTTGAGATTTATTTATTTTTATTTATGAAATTTTTATGCCGCCCATCTCCCCCCACGAGGTGACTCTGGGAGGCTTTACAATATTTTTGACAGCCGAATCTGAGCAACTTTGCAGTATGGGGTACATCTATGCACTTTATTTCATGCATTTAAATAATGTTTACAAAAAAAAAAAAAGGTTTCTCCAGACTTTCAAATGGATCTGTAGCCCAAAGGGATTTTAAAAATCCTGCTCTTTCTTGCCGTGGGAGAGGGGGGGGGCACTTCTGTTTGCTTCCCGCTGCTGTAAAAGATCATGTGCTAGTCTTCAAATCCAATTCTTGGTCACTATCCAATAATACATTTTATTTCTTTAGGACCTGGGGAATGAAGTACCAGTTTCTTCAGGGACACGAGTCCCAAATGCTTTTCACAAGCAAAGGGTTTCCAATCCACCCACCCTAGTATTTTAATTCAAAAACTTTGGAAAACTTTTCTTCCCCGGGAGGAATTTTGGTAAAACTGGACTTGGCCTTTGTCTGAGAAAAGCTAAATGGCTGCTTTCTCAGGGAAGGCCAGGTAAGTGAAGACACAACTTCCCTTCTACTCACAGGGGAGCAAACACCGACAGGGATATTTTGCTAACCTCTTTCGCTAAAACAGGATTCAGGGTTAGGCAAATGAAAAAGTTAAGGCTTCTGCATTCAGAGCCTTCCCCAGCTGGGAAATTTGACATTTACTAATTTGTGACATGGGTCAATATCCAGAAAATCTGGAGAATTGTTATTTTTTCCAATATGCAGGTAATCCTCGACTTACAACAGTTCATCTAGTAACCATTCAAAGTTACGACAGCACTGAAAAAACTTGACTTATGAGTGTTGTTTTTTTTCTTCACGTGACTGTTGCAGCCGTCCCTGTGATCAAAATTCAGACGCTTTGGCAACTGACTCACATTTATGACGGTTGCTGTGTCCCAGGATCACATGATCCCCTTTTGCGATCTTCCGACAAGCAAAGTCGATGGGGAGGAAACACTCACTTAACAACCGAGTTATTAACTTCACAACTGCAGTGATTCACTTAATGGCCAGAAAGGTCATAAAATAGGGCAAAACTCCCTGAACAACTGACTCGCTTAGCAACCGAAACGTTGGCCTCAATTGTGGTCATAAGTCGAGGACTACCTGTGTATTTGTTTATTTTTTTGAAAACCACTTGGAGTTAAGTTACGCGTTCTGCTTTAAATCCCAATTGGTGAGTTGGCCAGCTGGGGTCCATCTTTGCTACCCAAGGGAAAAGAAAGGGAGGAAGGAAACTAACTAATTTTTTGCTTCAAGATCCGGAACAGGATTTTAAGGCAGGTAAGGTAAGTCTTGAGTGCTAGTGAGGTTAATTTTTATAGCATGCCAAAAGAAAGGATAAAGGACAAACATAGAAACATTCAAAGGGGAACAGAGGAAAACATTAAAAACAAACCCTGAAAATAAGGATTAGAGATTGGTATAGTTTTGAGCAGGAACCCAGATTCCAAACAAATGAATAAAGTTAGGTTGTTAAAAACCCAATTCTTAAAAAAAAATATGTGTTAAAACTACACATTCTTCTGACAACTAGCTACTTTTTAAAAAGGGCTAAAAAGGAGAATTACTGTACCTGTTGAGCGTGGGAATGTTCCCTCTGCAATTAAACAACCACAGTTAGTTAAAGATTGGTTAGTTAGTGGAAGCCATCATTAAAATGAATAAATCAATAATTTTTAAAAAAATAATGAGCTGTCATTCAAGCCAGTGTGCAAAGCAGAAGCTGTGAGCATTACATTTGTCGAAGTGGGGGAAAAAAATAAACATATTTATTTTCTGGCAGCATCCATGGGACATAAGGAAGAAGGGCTTATCCATCAATATCCTGAAATGTGAAAAAAAAACCAAGTCCAAAGGTTCTTTGGAAAAACCACCTGAAGTTCTTCCTCAAGACAATTCCATATAAAATTATACAAAATTAGCTGCATTTAATTATTTTGGGGGGGAAAGGTGTTAGCAAACTATTCTTTATACATTTACTACCCTCGCAATTGTATAGCCGCTTACTCGGAAATAAATTATATTGAAATTGAGCGGGGACACGACCCAACTTTAATGTTAAGTAAAACAGAATGAACTGAAAATCACCTTTTGAAGATGGGCGGCAAAGCAGGGGTGTCCAACCTTGGCAACTTTAAGACTTGTGGACTTCAACTCCCAGAATTCTTGAAGTCCACAAGTCTTAACGTTGCCAAGGTTGGACACCCCTGCATTAAAGCATTGTAACTCTTTGTAATATTGTTGCTGTAGCACAAAATACTGTATATTATGGACACAACCATGATAGCGGTCTTTCAATATTTGAGGGGCTGCCGCAGGGAGGGAGGGGTCAAGCTATTTTCTAAAGCGCCTGTAGGCCGGACAAGGAATAATGGATGGGAACTGAACAAGGAGAGATTTAACCTGGAAACAAGGAGAAACTTTCTGACAGTGAGAACAATCAACCAATGGAACAGAAGTTGCCTTCAGAGGTTGTGGGAGCGCCATCACTTGAGACTTTCAAGAAGAGACTGGACTGCCATTTGTCAGAAATGGTGCAGGGTCTCCCGCTTGGGTGGGGGGTTGGACTAGATGACTTACAAAGTCCCTTCAAACTCTGATTATCTGTTATCTGTTAACCAGGACCATTGCCTCTACTGAATCCCCTGTGCATTTGGGGGGGAGGGTAGGGGAGAATATTTCAGGATTGTGAGGAAAGCAAATGTAACTTTCTACGCCATTGTTGGATCTAATTCCTCTTCTTTACCTCAGTGTAAGTTATGTTTCATCCAAAAAGAGCAACTATCTAGATCAGGGATGTCAAATTCAAGTCTCGTGGGCCAGATCTGGCCCTCAGGGTGCTTAGATCTGGCCCACGGGTCTGCCCCGGAAATAGCAATGGACTGGCCCGCGGTGCCTCTGCCAGTGAAAACAGAGCTCAGGAGAGCTGCATGGGGCCCCCCCGATCTCCATTTTTGGCTGCGACGGCCTCCTGCAACCCTCTGCCAGCAAAAACGGAGCTCGGTGTGGGGGCACACGCAGCCCCCCTGAGCTCCATTTTCACTGGCAGAGGGCTGCAGGAAGCCGTCGCAGCTGAAACGGATGTCAAGCTGGCCATGACCCTGCCCCCCCCCCCCCCTCCCCACCGAGGTCAAACACTACCCTGATGTGGCCCTCAATGAAATTGAGTTTGACACCTCTGATCAAGATATAGTAGGTATTCCTGTAGGAGGAGTGACAGAATATGGGGGTGGAGTCAAAAGAGGAACCAGCTTAGAGTCTCTACATAGTCACAAACGGACTAAGTCCAACCCCTCTTGAATTCTGTTAACCATCATCTAGGGCCAAAATAGTGGTAACCATTAGTTGACTACTTTCCTGTGCGTCGCATGAGCAATGAATCAGTTTGATTGGAACTTAACCTGTAGCCTTTGTCTTTCACTGCTGAAGTTTCAATGAACATCACTTGGAAGTGAATATCAGAATGTACGGCAGTGAATTTCATATATCACATCAAAAAAAAAAGCATCATTATAAAAGAAAAATAAGTGAGTCTATGGCATCAGGAGTGACATCACTTCCCCTAGCCCACTACTTTAATCCCACTGCCAGATACATTATTTAATTATATTCATTTTTCAGCCAGGAAGAACTAGTCAGGAGGTCAAATTTTCCTATTTACCAGTCCCAATCAATCAGTAGCATAAATATGACAGGAAATTTGCTGCTGAAGGGAGTTCCCAAAAATGATTTTCAAAAGGCAACCAGTTTTTTTTGTTGTTTTCCTTGAAAATGTTTCGCTTCTCGTCCAAGAAGCTTCTTCAGTTCTGGATGAGAAGCGAAAACATTTTCAAGGGGAAAAAAAAATTCAAGAAGCGAAATGTTTTCAAGGGGAAAAAAAATCAAGTAAGTCTAGTTTCTTTTTGAAAAGCTCCTTTGAGACAACTGTGACCTGGATGGCAGAGAATCCACAGACATTTGCTGAAGGGAGTTGATACTCAGCAAATTTAAACCTGGGAACAATTCTGGAATTTCCCTCGGTCTCAAAATGTGTTATACTGATAAAACTGCCAGTAGATAGGAATCAGCAAGTGGTGGCTGGTTGGTAGCATTTAAGCAAAGCAAGGGAGATATAAATAGATTGATAGACTGAAATGAACTGGTTGATCCAAAGTTGAACATCTTCATCCCTAATTAGGAAAAAGAAAACCACCCTGTACTTCAGCTTATCAATGCAGTCCTACACATATCAGATAGAGATGTTGTCTTTCGTCTGATGTACGTTTATATTAAACGGTGAAACTATTTCTCCATTGCTGTAATTTACAGGTGTCAAAAATTGGCCTTACGTTTGGCTAAACTGTGATTGCACATATTGTATTATCAATCGCTATAACACAAACAAGAATAAAATGGAAGACGATGGGAACATTCGTTCAGGGGTGAAAGTTCAACCGAAGCTCAGCTTAAATTCTTCCAAATTGAACCGGTTATTTCACAGGTTCTTTCAGAAATGGGGGCAGGAGAAATAAATAATTCACTGAGCCCACGGACCAGACCGACATTGTATTTTTCACCTCCAGTTCATGATTAGGAAAGGGAGAAGCTGCATTATTACCTCTCCATCTCTCTTTCCCTTTCTTTTCCTTTTCCCCTTTCTCTTCCTCTTCCCCACTTTTTCCTCTTCTCCTTTCTTTTCCTCACTTCCCCCTTTTCCCCCTTTCTTCCTCTATCTCTCTCCCTCTTCCTTTCTCTCCCTCCCCTCTTCCCCTTTCTTTTCCTCTTCCCTTTCCTTCCTCCCTCTCTTCCTTCCTCTACCTCTCTTCCTCTCCTCCTCCCCCTTTGCCTTTCTTTTCCTTGCTTCCCCCTCTTTTTCCCTTTCTTCCTCTCTCTCTCTTCCCCTTTCTTCCTCTCTCTCTCTTCCTCTCTCCCACTTCCTCCCCCCCTCTCTTCCCCTTTCTTTTCCTCTCCCCCTTTCTTCCTTTCTCTCTCTTTTCTCCTTTCTCTCTTTTCCTTTTTAGCCTTCTCTTCCCGTCTCTCTTTTTCTGTCTCTCTGTCTGTGTGTCTGTGTGTCAAGTAAGATTCCCAGGTTGCACATTGAGATAACATTTTACCTGGAATTAAGTTCTACTGCCCTTGCATCTGTGTTTATTCATTCATTTATTTAGATTTGGATTGTGAGCAGGGACAGTGAAAAACAACCGTTTTTGCTTTTTTTTTTTTTTTTTAAGATTCCACGAGGCAGAATATTCCTGAAACATTTCTTGAAGTGCTCTCACACACGTATACAGGTAGTCCTCGACTTAACGATAGTTCATTTAGTGACAGTTCGGTCACAACGGCAGTGAAAAAAGTGACTCGTGGCCGTTTTTCACACTTACGACCATTGCAGCCTCCCCATGGTCACATGACCAAATCTGGCCACTTGACAACTGACTCATATTTATGACAGTTGCAGTGTCCACCTTTTGCGACCTTTATGCACTCCAGTTGCTAAGCATCTGAATTTTGGTCATGTGACCATGGGGAGGCTATAATGGTCATAAGTTTGAAAACTGATCAGTCACTTTTTGTCCCATTGTTACTTTGAACAGTCACTAAACGAATGGTTGTAAGTTGAGAACTACCGGTACTGTATACAACGGACCATAAATTGTTGATTTTCTATTATTCGTTGAAAAAGATTTATATAGAAGTAGTTCTTGACTTACAACAGTTCACTTAGTGACCGTTTGAAGTTACAACGGGCACTTACTTAGGATTGTTTTTCACACTTATGACCATTGCAGCATCTGCATGGTCACGTGATTTACATTTGGATGCTTGGTAACTGATTCTGTCAGAATATTCATGAACTGGCAGAGACATGGGTAACAAGGTCAGCCAATGGGAGCTGAATTGGGGGCGGAGACTGGAAGGAGCCTGGGCGTGGCTTAGCTCTGTGCTCAGCTCTGAAGAAACACAACTTATCTGAGCTCTTTAGAGTGAAACTAAACTCTCTGCTCTGAGGTCTGAAGCTGCTGCTTGTGCTTTTGCTTGTATCTCTCTACCACGTTGGAAGAACCTACTTCGGTACTGTACATTTACTTATATATTATGATGTATATAAAGAAGTTAATGAATCCTGCTGACTCAGTCATCTGGGTGGGGCTTTCTGGATTTGAATTTCTGCTGCAAAATCTAACAGATTCACATTTATGACGGTTGCAGCATCCTGGGGTCATGCGACCAACTTTTACGACCTTCCGACAAGCAAAATCAACGGGGAAACCAGATTCACCTAACAACAGGGTTACTAACTTAACCACTGCAGTGACTCACTTAGCAACTGTGGCAAGAAAGGTCGTAAAATGGGGCAAATCACTTAACCTCTGCCTCGCTTAGCAATGGAAATTTTGATCTCATTTGTGGTCGTAAGTCAGGGACTACCTGTACCTTTCTTGTGGTGCTCGATACCAGCCACTGTTTTTTATCCATCCGATGACGTCAATGACTATTCAACAGGAGCGTGTGGAGAAGCCTAAACTCCCCTGAAGGAAACTTTTGAGATGATATTTCAGCGGATTCATTTTTATGGCCCTTGAATGAAAAGGATGGGTCCATCTAGTTATATGGACT